AAATATCAAAAATAATAAAATCTTTTAAAATTAAATATCTTATAAAAAAAAGATATAATATTATTATATTTAAGAAAAAACAATAAAAATTAATGTAAAATATCAACAAAAGAAATAATAAAATAATTTAATATAATTAAAAACAAATAAATTAAAAATATATTTTATTCTATAAATTTAATATACATTTTTATTTTTTAATTATATTTTTGAAATAAATTAAAAAATATATAAAAAAAATCAAAATAATATAAATTAATAAAATACTTGATGAATTAAAAAATATATCTTGAAATTATTAATATGAAATGGTCAAAGAACAACAAAAAATATATTATATATTTTTATAAATATAAAATATATATATATATATATATATATACATATATATATATTATAATTATTTTATATTTTTATTTTATTAATTTAAAATTTTATAAATTATTTAATGAATAAAAAATATTTAATATATTCAAGTGTATAACATTTTAATACTTCTATAAAATATTACATTAAATCATCATTTTCAAATTTAATCAAGTAATCTGAGATTTATCACACTTATCTTTAACTTATATTAGTAATTTATAAATCCAAGTAATAAATTTAAATAATTTTGTATATACCTATATTAATCTTAATTCTAAAAGTGGCGTCTTATTAAATCTATTTTTCATAAAACATGCACTAGGATTGAAAAAATTATTTTCCTGCATATGATGTTAACGTTTAAAGAAAATTGCATATACGTTAAACAGATATGTTTTTAAGGTTATTTATTTCTTGCAGCATCTTAAAAATACCCTTGTCTAAGTACTATTTCGCCATTTGTTCTCACATTATATAACTATAATTATATACTATTTATGTTTAAAATATTGAAATTATATATGATTTGTTATATTTTCTATAATCATTGATGATTATAGTTTTTATTTTTTTGCAGTTTATATAAAATCATTAGATTCATATATATTTAAATAATATATCATTATTTTTTTAATTTGTAAAAATTATATATAAAAAATAATATTTTATTATAAATGCTTATAGATAATTAATGAATTAATGGCATATTATGGATGAATTAATAATTAGTTTAATATAATTAATTTTTTAAAAAATGAAAACAATTGTTTAATGCGAAAGTTTAATTTTATTATAAATAAATAAAAATCGATTAGGCTTTATATTTTTTAATAGTTTAGCAATAATTTTTATAACAAATTGTATTTATATATTTTTCCTAAATAATTATAATATTTATAATGAAATAATAAATTATTATAATATGCTTACAATAATATTTTATTTTAATATAATTTATCATTTTTTCTTAAATTATTTTATTTTTATGTTTTTTTAAATACAATTTTAAATTCAATTTGTTTTATTGTTTAATTTATTAATATACATTTTTTTTAATTTTTTCTTTTATTTTGATTAATACTAAATTAGATTAAATAAACAAAATATATTATATGAAAAATCAACTTTTTAAATAATCTATTTAAAAGTAATGCAAATTATTTTATATACTAAAAATTTTATTTATCTTAAAATATAAAATATTTATTTTTTTATATGAATTTATTAAAAAGAAAACTTCGTTTTAAGATTTTAATATTTATTTTTGATAAGATATTAAAATTTCATTTATTTTTTATAAATCAAGATTTTTTTTTCATTCAATAATTTGTTTGATATAATAAAAAATATAATTTTTAATTAGTTTATTGTTATAGTAGATATATAAATATTTTTATTTTATTTAATTAATATAATTTCTTCAATATATTAAATTCACATCATTTCTCCATCTTTTTTTGTAATTATATATATTTATTATTATTATATATATATATACTATTTGAAGATATTTTTTTTAATATATTTATAAACAAAAATTAAAATTTTTTAAAAATTATTTATTAATGAATCGACTTTTTTTAAAAAAAATAAAGATATCAGAAAAAAAATATGAATTTATTATCAATTTATAAATATTAAAGTAATTTATTTCTGAATATATAATTTATATATAAAATAAAATTTAAAATAAAAATATAATAGATATATAATTTTATAAATTAAAATCATTATATTTTGTTTTTCTCATGATTTTTAATAAGTAATTTTATACATGAAAACATATAGGTATAATTTTTTAATATTGGGAGTTTTTCTGTAATAATAATATTTATGGGAATCAGCAAATGAATTTGGTTTATTAATCTTTAAAAATTTACTTAAGGATATTTTATTTATCAATATACTTAATGCTTTAAATAAAATATCCTATTTTATAGATTGAAATAATTTAATTCATTCAGTTTTAAAGTATTATTCATAATTTTGTATATTAAGAATCTATATCAAACATAACTCATAATAGGGCAAGAGAATAAATATTCTATTATTGTATTAAATTAATATTTATTTGTTTGCATAGTTTAACAGACAATCATTTTAATCTATAGTCCAAATATCTTGCTCAGAATAATAATTTTATTAAAAACTATTTGAAGAATAAAATTAAAGCAGGAGAATTACAATAAAGTCTGTCTAACGACTTATTTATTTGATATTAACAAAAATATTAATCGTATTGTTTGTGTTTATCAATTTTTGATAAAGTCATTAATAAAATTATTTTAATAATAAGATGAATTTTGGATGTAATTAAAGATATTTCGGTTCTGGAATATATGCATATAATAATAAATAATTAAAGATATTTCGGTTCTGGAATAAATGCAACTAATCACGAAGAATTTTTATGATTAATGTTAGTTTATCAATATATTATTATAAAAGTTTTATAAAGAAAATTCTCATAAGTGTAAAATTCATTAATGTATATATAGGAATTTTTAAAATAATAAATGAAAAACAAGATATTACTATGCTATTAGCAGAATTAATTTAAAGAAGTTATAAAAGTATATTAGAATTTTAAAAAATATATATAACGAAATATTAAAAAAAATAAAACAAAAAAAATTATTCATTTATTTTTTAATTTATAAAATTTATTTTAATAATATAAAAATATACAACAGTATGGATTATATGGATTTGAGACACGGAATTCATTATATTTATTAATAAAATAAACTTTATTTAATTTAATTTTTACAAAAAAAACATTGATGCCATCCACTACAAAAATAAACTTTAAAAGTAATAAAAAATTTATGAAGAAATTATAAAAATAATTTTTCAATCATAAAATTTGTTTAAAATGTAACTGGTGAAAAAATTTCAAAATATTTTTATGAAAAAATAAATATTTATTTATATTTTTTTTTTACTTGATTATGTTTTTTTACTTATTTGTAATTTTTTATTTGTTGTGTTTTTTCATTTGTATTTTTTTACTGTTTTTATATTTTTTTAATATTTTTTATATTTCTATTTTATCATTTTATGTAATTCATTTGTTTTGACTAATTTAATATTATTAATTTTATTTATCTTATTCAATTTTGTTATAAATATAATTTTTTATTTTAAAAGCCAACTAATAATATATATATAGATATTTAAGACGTAATTATAAATTAAAATATATATAAAATTATGTAAAAAAATTAGTTTTAAAATATTTAAATTATACCATAAAGTTAAAGAAATTAATATATTATCTTAATATTACTCAAAGAAATTAAAAAAAAATATTTATAAGTAATTAATTTAAATTATATAATATAATAATTATAAAACCAAAGAAAATTAATTAAAAATAATTATAATAATAATAAAAAAAAAATGTCTTAAAATAATAATTAAATAATCTACATTGGTATTCGTCGTGAAGATAAAAGCCATTGGGAACGTAGAGTAGCTATTATACCAGATCACGTAAAATAAATTTAATCAATGAACCCCCATATAAGATTTATAGTATAACCATGTAACAAGCGCATATTCTCTAACAAAGAATATGAAAAGAGTGGAGCAACAATAAGTGAAGATCTATCTCCATGTGTTTTAATAGTAGGAGTAAAAGAGGTACCTATTGAGAAATTACTAGATCATAAAACATATATGTTTTTTTCTCATACAATAAAAGCCTAACACTAAAACATGCCTACATTAGACAAGATTTTAGAAAAGCACATTCGTTTAATTGACTATGAAAAAATTACAGATGAGCATAATAATAGATTAATTGCTTTTGGAAGATTTGCAGGAATCGCAGGGGCCATAGATTTTTTAAGTGGGTTTGGCTAGTTTTTGATTACAAAATAACTTTCTACTGCTTTTTTAAATATAAGTCTTTCTTACAAATATTTTAATCTAAAATAAGCTAACTTATAATTAAAAATGGTTGGAAAACAATTATAAGATTAAGAAATTCCTTATGATTTAAGACCTCTCATTTTTGCAGTCACTGGGACTGGCAGATGTGCAAAAGGAGCATGGGAAGTATTAGAAAATTTTCCAATAATAAAAGTAAATCCAGATGATTTGGAAGCTTTAGTATAAAATTAGGACAATCCTTAACATGCTTGTCATATTTATGTGTGCCAAATAGAAGCTCAGCATATGGCAGAACATATTTATGAAAAAGAAAACTTTAATAAGAAAGATTATTATGAAAACCCCCATAATTATGTGTAGAAATTCGCCCAGAAATATCTTCCCTATATATCTTGCATTTTCAATAATATGTACTGGGAAAGAAAATATCCTAGGCTTATATCGGACTAAGATATTAAAGAATTAGCTGAATAAGGATAGAGTAGATTGCTTGGAGTTTCAGATGTTTCATGCGATTTTGAAGGATCAATTGAATTTTTAAAAAAATTTACTACACCTGATATGCCATTTTATGTTTATGAACCAATATCTAAGAAAATTCACGATGATCTATTTTATAGGAAAAATGGTATATTATATCTAGCTCTTGACTTTTTGCCTTGCGAACTTCCGTATGATGCCAGTTGCCATTTTTCGAGTTAATTGCTAAATTGGATATAAAATATTGCCTAAAGTGATATTGATAAACCTTTAGAGTAAAGTGGACTCGAAGATTGCATAAAAAAAGCAGTTATTACTCATTAAGGTGAACTTACTTATAAATATAGATATATTCATAAATTAAGAAAAGCTAATGAAGAGGTTTTGAAATAAGAAAATCTTATGAAAAGCTAAAAGTTAGGAGAAAGAGTTATTAGTTTCTAATCTCTTAAAATAGAAGGACATTTATTCGATACAAATGCAATTAATAAAATATTGGATATTTGTTAATAATATAAAATGAAATTCCATGTAGCTGAAATTAATGCTGGATAAACGGATGAATAAACTTCAAATTTTATTTTGTAATTATTTGGATCTAATAAAGAAAATATGATATTTGTCCTTGAAGAAATTGAAAATTTGGCTAAGCAGATTAACCTTAAAATTGATTAAAGTAATTATTGAAAATGATCTTGAATATAATAAAAATAAATATTATATATATATATTAAATCAATAATTTTTTGATATTATAGATTATGCTTTTTATTATTATAATAAATTTTTATTTTACTTTATTATATATTTATCAAATTATATATTTTAAAATAAAATAATATAAATAATCAAATATAAACAAAAATAATAATAAATTTAAACAAAATAAAAAATCAAAATCAAAATTCAATACAAAAAATTTTGAAAACAAAAAAAATATTAAAAGAATATAAAATATTTAAATAAGTAAAAATATATTTTTTTTAAAAAAAGAAATGTTTTAAACATTAAAATAAGATTAAAAATGGATTTCCTTTAGTGCAAAAGCAAGTCTAAGTGCAATTGGAGCAGGATTAATAGGATTATCAATTTGGTATATAAAAATGAAATTACGATTAACACAAGAAAAAATAATATTGACATTATTTTAATAAATGAGTGATTAATATGAAAATAATCTAATAATGAAAAATGAGACATATAAATTTGAATATTTTTAACAAAAATTTAATAATAACTGTAATAACTATTTATATTCAAATTACAGGAAAGATATATTTTTAACGAAATTATAAAATAATATTAATATTTAAAATGAATTTTTCAAAAGATATTAATATTTTTACCAATTTTATGTCTAGAATTTAATAAAACTTATATAAGACAGAATAAAATTAAAAAATTTAAATTAATATCTTATTTAAATTGATTATATGTATTAAATCTTGTTTGATTCTTTGCTTTTTTAGTTAAAAGAAAGCAATGAAAACGTAATAATGAAATAATTATCAAGCAAAATGTTAAGCAATATGATTATCAGTGATCTTTTTCATTTAAAAAATGATTATAAATACAATTTACCTTAATAATAGGTACAGTAATTCGAAACAAATTACTTTGAACTACTTATTAAATATGGAAAATTAACTTCAATGTCTTCTTAATAAAAGTTGGCAGAAATACTAGAAATTTTAGTATAAAATGATAAAGACTTTTATCATTTCGTTTAAATTTGTTTAGCAAAGAATATATACTTTATTTAAAATTGGGAAAATTAGAAAGAAGAAATTATATAAAATATATAAAATACTTCTAATATAAATAATAGCTTTAGCGGTATTATTAATGGAAGCTTTAGTAATAATTATTCAAATGAAGTTGTTTTCCCTACTCCTTTATATAAACAATTAAATAAAATTTCATATAAAGTCTGCTTATTAATGATTTAGGAAGGTTATATTTTTAGAATATTGGAAAATATGTGTGAAATAATACAGAAAAGTGAAAATTTAATAAAAATAGAAAAAATAATTAATTGCCTATTTGAAATAATAATAGGAATATTATAAAGTTCGAATAATAATAATATATAATTTACTTTATAACATAATCTTCAATAATAATAAAAAGAAAATAATTAGATTTCTACAAAACTTTTAACTTCCAATTTAGAAGAAATAATTGAAAGTTTATTAAAAACATTAACTTTTTGTGAAACTAAAAATACTGTTGTTTTAAATAATTAAAATATTGTCGATTTAGTATATTGGGTTACAAACAATTTAGATTAAATATACTTTAGATAAAAATATGCTAGTTAAATATAATAAGTTTTATGTATTTTGATTACCGAAAATCGAACTATAATAAAATATGTATGCGATAAATATATTTAAGAAATAAGATATTTACATAAAATAAAAAGAGATGATAAAATGAAAGGATTTTAATAATTAGAAACTAATCTTTCTATTAGTAACCTATTTTAATTTTCCTAATTTTAAGTATTTAAGAAATTCCTCATCAAAAAAATTTAGAAAATCACTTTAAGGAATTAATGTCTTTTTATGATGAACAAGAAAGAAAACTTGTTATAAAAAATTTCACTTCAATTCTTTATGAATATGTATTTATGAAAGAGCTTTTTTAATCAATGTTAGAAAAAACTTCTTCCCAATCTAATTAAATGATATTTTCTTATAATAAATTAAAAAATTTCTTTTACACTCCTAAAGGAAAAGTTTATGATGAAATGTTATTAGGTTTACAATTCATGATTCTTCTAGGAGGTGGTGATAGTTTATGTGATCAAATTTGTACTCGATGGAGAAAAGACTCACAAGATTATGATGATTTTAAGATTTATATGAGTAGCGATTTAGCTTTTCTCTTATAAGTGTTAGAAAATGATCTTTGTTATTTAAATGTAAATGAAAATTGGTAAGTAAATTTAAAAAGTTATGAATCTAAATCAATATATAGATAATAAGCATTTTTCAAAACTCAATAATTGATAATTAATTTCTTACATTTACAACAAGGAGTTGATAAAAATTATTTAAAGGAAAAAATAAAAGGTTTTATTTCAGAAAATATACTTGATTCGGATGAAATTTTCGAATGTGCAATACAAGAAGTATGCGAATTTTCTAGAAATGGAATACTTTTTTTAAAAGAAAATTTCCAAAACTTTTATTTTCATTCTCTTTTTAACAAAGATGTACATTTGCTTATTTAACTTCTAAATATTATTTAAAAAAATTCCCAAAATTAATAAATTGATTTATATATTGATTCTAAATTAAATGAGAAAGACTAAAGTTTGCTCTATTTAAAATAAGTTAGAAGAAATATTATCGAAAATATTAATTTTCATACATGTTTTAAAGAAATTTTTGTTGAAAATGATGTTATTTTTATAGAAAAAATAAGAGTTATTTGTAGGATTCTCAATTATATTTTTGATGTTATCGAAGAAGGAGTTATTGAATGTAGAAGTACCAAAAAAATTCAAAAAGATGCAATCAAAAGTTTACTTGTTATTTATATTTTCGATCCTGTACTTTCTAATTAATTAAAAAAAATCTAAGAATATAATGATGAGGATGAAGAATAAACTTTTACCGAATTTATTCCTTCACTTAAACATATTGAATATAGAAAAGATTCCATAAAAAAACTTATTAAAGTTGTTTTTTAAGGACTTTCTGCTTCTTAAATTATTTAATGAAAAAAAAAAAAAAAAAATATTAATTAAAATATTTTTATTTTATTATATTTTTTTTATTTATAATTTTTTTAAAAAAAAAAAAAAAATTAAGTTTTAATTTTATTTTTTTAAAAGAAAAATAGTTTATTTAATATATAATATTTTAATAATATTTCTTTTAAATATAAAAATAAATTATTACTTTTTTTATATTAATAAATTTAAGAAACATAATTTTAATTTTTTTTAATGTAATTCACAGAATAGTTTCAAATCCAAAAAATAAAAAAAGTTATGATTTTTTTCAAATGTTAATATTTAATGAATCTAAAAAACATTTAAATTTTATATATTATATAATAAATTATTAGTTTTTAATTTTAACAATATCAATTTTAAAAATAATTAATATAATAATATTAATGGGTCTAATATTTTTTTTAATCAAGATAATCAATTTAATTTTTAATAAATTGCTCCATTTTCAATTGAATAATAACAATAAAAAATATAGATTCTAATATTTCTTAAAAAAAGAAAACAACAAAAAAATTCGAAATTTTAATGAATTTTCATAAATAAAGGGAGAAAATTAAAAAAATAAATATATGTGAAGCATGCTTCGAAATATTTTTAAAAATATTATGAAAATTTTTTAAAATATTTTAAATTAATCACTTCTCATAATCATTTTTAATAAAAAATTATCTTTTTAATTTCAAATTTCAATAATTAAAAATAATTTATTAAATTGATAAAAAATATCTTATATTAGAAATAAAAATGACATTATTGAAGATTGGTAAATATTTAATGATAATAATTTTAAAATAAGATAATATAAGATTTTATTTAAAGTACTCTCTAAAGACTTATTTTAAGATTATATTCTTATATATCTATTAAATAGTAAAATAAAAGATTTATAAATTTTTTATTTGAACAGGCTTAAAATCAATAAATAACACTTAAAAATTGTAGAAATTTATATATATTTTATTATTTTTAATATTTAATTAAAGAATAAATATCAGACTTTAAAAATTATTATCTTAAGCAAAGTAATAATATAAAAAAATAATTATATTAAAAAAAAAAATTAAATATAATATTTTATTTAAATAAGAAAAAATAATAATTTATATTTTAATAATTTAATAAACGAAAAATTTTATACTTATAAGTCTATAGCTTTATTAATTTTTTTAAAAATTATGTTAAATTTGTTAAATTTAATAATATTTATATTAATTATATATATTTTTTTATTAATTATTCAAAGAGTATTTTTTATTTTACTAAATATATATATAATAAAATTAAATAATTTAAAGTAATCATTATTTTATATATTAAACACATTTTATGTAAATTATATATAAATATATTGCTTGCTTTATAAAAATATAAGAATAAAAAGAAATAGATATCAGCTTTATTTTAGTTAATATAAATAAAAATTATATTTAAAATAATAAATAATTAATAAATTTAAAAAATATAGAAAATTTAGTTTATATTCATATCCTATAAACGTTACTTACTCATTCAATATTTTATTAAATTAAATATTAGTTTTATTATATTTATTTGTGATATAATATAATGGTAATTTTTTCAAATAAAACAAATAAAAATAAATTTAAAACAAACAAATAAATATAAATACAAAAAAAACTAAATAATCTAAAATATAAATAAAAATATTGAAGATAATAACTTTTTATACTATTAAAATAAATAGAATTAATCAAAATTCGTAATAATTTATATATATTTTTTTGTTTTTTTAAACATAATATTGATTATTAAAATTTGGTAATTTAAAATATTAAATATAAAAATTTATGTTTAAACAAAAATATTAGAGATAAAAATTAATATTTCGAATTTTTCTATAGATATTTCAAGTCCTTCAAAAAAAACTAAATATTTTTTTTTAAAGATTTTAAATTAAATATGTTACAAATTAAAATTT